AGACCCGTGGTCTCATTTTGAATGCAGCCAAGAGCCACGTGATCCCTGTATACCCCAACAGGCAGCCTCAGCAGCCCCAGCATACGATCAATGTAAACTGTCATGAAACGCCGATTCCTGTCGTTACTGCGGCCAGGTATCTTGGAGTGCTCCTCGACTCGGATCTGTCATGGACGCCCCATGTTGATCGCTGCACCGCTCGACTGGCCCAGAGGATCGGAGCACTATGGAGGTTGCGTCGCTGCTTGACTCATCAGAGCCGAGTTCTCTACTTTAAAGCGATCATCATGTCTGACCTGATGTACGGATCCAATGCGTTTTCCCCGCTTCTTACTGCCAACCAATTGGATCGGCTACAAGTCATGCAGAATCGGGCGGCAAGGGCGGTTTTCGGACTCTCGCATCACACCTCCGCGCGTACCCTCCTGCTGCAATTGGACACCTACAGAGTATCCGAGATATTCAGGCAGAAGTTCATCGTTCTGGTCTGGAGGTCTCGGAATGAGCACGCAAGTTCTGAACTGCAAGCCCTCCTAGTTCCTTCGGCAGCTGGCCCAACTAGGTTGCACTCCACCATGGGTCTGCGCCAACCGCCAGTTTCCACCAGGTTCGGCAAGGGTTGCCTCGCGTTCCGGGGCGCCCAGCTGTGGAACACATTACCCAGCGATGTACGTGCCATCTCCACGCTCCGCCAGTTCCGCGCCAGCATGATCCCGCACACACTTACTGGCCTTAGTACCTAGAGTACCAGACGTCCTGTTTGATGATCAGCTGGCTTAGTTTTTCTCCACCTCTATCCTAATTACATCAGTCCCCAATTTCATTTATTACTGCTTTCTATCTGCATTCGCCACCTTTTCATTGGGCAGATCTGCCCGTTTGGTTTGCGAATTAAAATAAACACAACAACAACAACAACAAATAAATCCTGGTACCTCTTGAGCAGGTTCTGGATGTCTTGTTGCTCTGATTCCTGGAGTTGTGGCCCGGAACGATTCTCCTCGTTTGCAGCAGTGACCCATGCAAGAAACCCCTCGGCTCCACTCCTCAGGGCATGACGAGCTTGTCGGCCACTGATAAACATGCTTTCCACAGATGGCCGGTCGGCTGTCGGCGGGTTAGCTGAAGGCAATTTGGCAACAAAGGGCTCACCGTCCAACTGAACTTCGTTCGTACGGAAGTTGATGCTGGGGTTGTTCCTTGTAAGCCACGGCTTGCCAAGAATAGCGTCGTAGCGAGTCAGGGGATACACAGTAAAGTGCTGTTCCTCACTGAAGCCCCCGACTGTCACCCTTAGCGTGCGTGTGGAAATCTGCGGGACCTCGCTGGTCGAGCCGTCCGCCAATGTTACGCTCAGCACTGCTGAGCTTGCATCCGTGTCAAGATGATGCTTTCGAACAAAACTGTCTGCAATGAAGTCATGCGTCGAACCGGAATCTATCAGCATCACTGCACGGCGACCGCCGATCTTTCCCTGTATGCGCAGTAGGTCGTGTTCAGGTTCATTGCCGACGCTGACGTTGCTGACATGACACCTTTCTGCAACGGGACAATTTTCTACAGCTATGGGTGTCTCCGGCTCCGTAGGTTCCTGGAGAGCAACGTCTTCAACCTCCAGAGCTCCGAACCGGTTAGCGACTGGTACCGGCGTGGGCGCTTGGGTCGTCGCCAGTAAGCGCACCCCCTTTCTTACTGGCGACCAGCGTTTGGGTAGCGCTGTCCACACTCAGTACAGTCTTTAGCGAGGTGGCCTGGCTTCCTGCAAGCAAAGCAGTGTCCCATTGCTCGCAGTTGGACACGCTCTTGGTCCGTCAGCTTGCGGAGGCCCTGACCACGGAAGCTGGGCACGGAACGCGACTCTCTACTGGCTGGTGGCCCCGACGCCGGTGGCCCTGACGACTGCTCCACGGTGTTTGCTGCCATGACAGCTTGCTCCAGGGTACGTGGATGCTCACGCATGACCTGTCGCTGGATGTGCGGCACTAGACCCCTGACGAACAGCAGCGCTCTGGTGTGGTGGTCGATTTCCGGCACTTGCAGGCTGAGGCGAGTGAAAGCAGCAATGTATGCGTCCAGCGACCCGCGCTGCGCTGCGGAAATTAGTCCCATACGCGATGTTTCCTCGTTGTGCCGTGGTCCGTACACATCGCCAAGTGCCGCTTTCAGAGCAGGCCAGTCGGAAAACACTTGGTTAGCTTCCAATGCCGCTATCAACCAAAGACGAGCGTTTCCAGTCAAAAATCCTGCCGCGTAGTCGACCCTCTGTGCCGCATTTGGGAGTGCCAACGACCGTAGGGCCATGTCCATTGCAAACGTCCATTCTTTGAATGTAGCGGAATCTCCTCCAAACACAGGCGGCTCTTTCGTAAGGCGGGGTGTTGGCTCCCACGGTTCCGAGTTCGGATGTATCGTTCGGTTTCCTTGGCTAACGCGCTGAGCGGTCTTGATATCGTTTATCAGCCGAACGACGAGTACGAGGAGCGTAAGCAGAGCGACCAGAACACCTGCCAAAAGCAGAGTAGTAACCATCCTCTGCTACCAGTGTAACAGGTTTAATCAAACTTGAAAAGTAAGAGGCCTGGTTGAGCGTGCCTCGACCAGTTATATGCAAATGTGATAGTATACATGTGGCAATGGCGCCAATGAAGGTGCTAATAGACAGGCGTAAGACGCATGAGGTGCGAGGGAGTGTAAAGTTGTAGAGACCAGGGGAAAACTGTTACATCTAGGGTTCCGTCTGTTGTTAATGAACTCGGCCTGAAAGTAATTGGCTTTCCTACGGCGCATAGCATGGTGATTTTGCACTGTAGGCGAAGCGCTCGGAAAGACTGGATTCGCTGCTGGTCACCCGGCTGTTTCAGCAGGAGTCTATGAGCTCGTTTTCTGCGGTAGAGCAGTTTACGTAGCTCGTCGTCGACCCATGGTGCAGGTTTATACTTAGTGGAAAAGGTAACTATCCTCACGGGGCAATGCCGCAATGGTGATCAAGTGCTTCGGTGAGGGAGCCCTGAAAATGTTCAATGTTTGCATTGAGGTCAGTTGGTAGGTTCTCGACGATTGACATCTTCGAAGTGATCTCTGCTTGGAATGCCTGTGCGTTTATGGTTCTTATTGGAGGCTTCCGGGTTCTGACTGGTGGATTCGGCTACTCTGCAAGAGTCTGTCACGCAACTGACAGTCGTTGACTGCCAGCACAACTGGACTGGCAGCATATGCGCATCCACACGACTGAGGTAGGGAGAAGCACGTGGTGACCACGGGGGCTCATGTTGCACGATCTAACCAAAGCAATGGAGACAAGGGAGCGGATCCAGGACATGACGGAGGAGTAGGGTTCATGCCGCTTCTCCGAGACCATAAATTATGGCCAAGACGCTTCAGGAAAGCGTGGGCTACCTTGCCGCACCCACCAGATGCACTGAATATCAGTGGGAGAAAGGAAGCATGCTCCACCTCCCTGACGCGTTCTTCGTAGACCCTTCTCTTCTTCTGTTCGTGCTTGGCATAGGTGGACGCGGGAGTTAAGGAAGTGTTCGAGCGCGCATGAGGGTTAAAAACCCGAACATCACAGAACGTGCGCTCAAAACGACTTCCCCAGACACCGGATGCCGCCACATCAAGACGAGCACCATCTTCCAAGATGGCAGAGCGATACCGAAGCCTTTCACCCTCCAAGGGCTGCAGAGGAGGTTCTACCTTCAGGCTTCACATCCGTTGCCACTTCACGCAGTAAGTCGGCTGTCAGGTCGCGGTTAAACGCCTTGCCACACACAGAAGTGGATGGCAGGCGGGGAGGGACCCAGCCGAACCGCAGACAGCGTGCGTCTCTGAAGGCGCCCTTGTGGAGGACAAACCCGAACTGCTTCAGGGGCCAGCAAGTGAGCCAGTTGGGCACTCCTTTCTCGGCCTCCATCCCCAGGGTTCGCTTGGTGGGCGCATCACAAGTGGCCAGGAGCTGACTGGCCCGGTCTCGAGCGGCTCTCCTGGTTGCTGCTGCTGCAGTTAGCTTCGCAGCATGGATGGAAGGCACTTAGTCCATGTTGGTGTCTTGGTCCAGTATCCGGCTCAGGAGGATGTTGGTGACAGCGACAGACATATTGTACTAGTGTTGGGCCGTGGAAAAAACCTCGGATAAATGAGACCAAGACCACCTTCTCGACATGGGAGGGACAGTATGGCGCGCTCTTCGTCACCAGGTGCGGGGCGACCGGTTAGGGCAGGTTTTCTGCTATTTCCACTAAGAAATGGGCCCTGAAGGTATTTCAAACGAAACCTTTTCTGACAAAGATCTAGCTAGTCATTAGTTCTAACCAAAGTGAAGAAGCTGGAAAAGCGATTATGTGCCATTAATTATGAGGCTAAAATTGGTCAAATGCGCATGCATAGCACCAACAGTACGTAAACCGGTTTATGTACCGTATTTTTCGGAGCATAGTGCGCACCTTTGTATAACGCGCACCCCCAATCTTCATTGGGGGTGCGCACTTCAATCTTCATTGAAGTATATGCATTTCATATTCGGAGCATAGTGCGCACCTGCGATTTAGGGCCTAAAATAGCACATCTAAAGTGCGCACTATACTCCGGAAAATGCAGTACTCTTGAATCTTGATAGCACACAATGAACACCCAACTAGGTCTGTACACGCCTACGACCCTAGAACTGAACTTAGTACATCTGTACAACGTGCAAAAGGTCCATTGGAAATCGACTGCACATACCACTGCACCATATGGGGGACACACACACACCATTGGACGCCCATCGCCGAAGGCGATGATAGCGATGCTACAGCAGAAGCCATAGCAGCTTGTGCTGGGATTGCACCATTCAACAACTTGCAAGGCTGAAGAATTGACCGCCACTATTCAGCCTGGTCTACACCACACAGCTATGAAGTGACTTTTTCTGGCCACACACACACACACACACACACACAGCACATACATACGTACACGCATGCTTGAAGTCAGTTATCACAACACCCAGACACGCGGACTGACCATTAATTAGTATAGTCTGTGGTTTGGGTCTAAAGCCTAGTTCTATACGGTAAGTGAGAGGAGAGAATTTAAAAAAAAGAAAAAAAAGAAAATATCACTGACTCTAGCTTGATAAAAACAGATCAGTGAGACTAACATAAGACGGGTGAGCGGATAAATCATTACTGATTGAGAGAGAGAGAGAGAGAGAGAGAGAGAGAGAGAGAGAGAGATGGAGAGATGGAGAGAGAGAGAGAGAGAGAGAGAGAGAGAGAGAGAGAGAGAGAGAGAGAGAGAGAGAGAGAGAGAGAGAGAGAGAGAAAGAGAGACAGAGAGAGAGAGAGAGAGAGAGAGAGAGAGAGAGAGAGAGAGAGAGAGAGAGAGAGAGAGAGAGAGAGAGAGAGAGAGAGAGAGAGAGACAGAGAGAGACAGAGAGAGAGACAGAGAGATGGAGAGAGGACTACTTTCTGTTATGACTGGCTGGACAGGGCCTGCAAGTAGCAAGTACGGCTAACGGAAATGCGCAGGAGGAGAGTAATTTAGTGAATGATCCGGATAGGGCTGACATAGAACGTTTGGGCTAAGCATTTAGCTGCTGCCGGGGAGGGTTGAAAGAGGAGAGGGTATAGAAAACAGCAACGTGGGGTAGGTGCATGGTGCATGCGGTGAGGCTATTACGGATGGACTTCTGTGTCAGTGGACAATTGCCACCGGGGTCACAAAATTAACTTTCAGCTTCAACACATGGAGGACGGTTTCGGCTGGCTGGCTGGGAGGGCACACGCGACAGCAGGTGCTGCAGGAACGATGGCAATATGGGGCGGAGGGGACGGAGAGAGAGGAGAGATAGAGAGAGAAAAGAGGGACATGAAGCTGTAGTGCTTATCAAGTAGACAAGAGAGCAAGATAAAACGCAGAGGCTCAAGTTATCGTCGGCACGGCACTGGAAATTAAAATTTGGCCATCAAAACTCAAGCAAAATTAGCACAACACACTTGAATTTGGCACCAACAGCTCTGGCAAAGTTATCGTGAAGCGAGAAACACTAAGCGGCTTGTGAACTGCACAGAACACCCACTACTCCCAGCTTTGAGAGCCTACAACTGGATCCGAGTGGGACGGCCAATCAAGAGTGGACGACGGAATTCCTCACACGCACACGCACACACACTCAGCTCCAACGACACGCGACGCCCTGAGAGCACCCTAACCGGCCAGAGCAGGCGGAGATCGGACGAAAACGCGAGCAGCTCAGACGCAGCTCGATCGCTGCACAACAGTGCTCAAGCGTTACAACGTCCGGCTCGAAGCATAGACGCTGCACGGTGTATACAGCTGGCAGAGCACTGACAGGTAGGTCTAAAGCAAATCCTTGAGCCGCGTGTAGTTCTCCAGCATAGCCAGTAAGAAGTGATTGATACTCTTCATCGTGTCCAGACTGGCCGCAGCTTTGTTGGACCAGAGCAGGTTGGGCCCGAAGACGGTGGCCAGATTCGGCTTGGACATAAGATTGGTCGCTTCAAACTCGGATATGGCCACTAACAAGTCTAGGATGAAGAGCAGCAGGCGAAGGTTGGAGTCGGGCAGGCGGCTGAGCAGGTCGGCGATGAATGTCACACGATGACTCTCCATGAAATCAATGTTGGGATCGATGACGGGCTCGTAGAGCGCGTACGTCAGCAGCGGTTCGGGCAGCTCGCGCACGAACAGCTTGAGTAGGCAGGCGGCCGTGTGCACATCCATGCTGTCGACGTCCACGGTCTTGCCAGCCTCGTACGCCATCTTGGTGTCCTTCAACTGCATGGTGCACAGGCACATACATATGTACACACGGGAAAACACACAGAGAGACAGACCTTTGACCTTTGACCTTTGACGCCCATCGCCGGAGGCGATGATAGCAATGCTACGGCAGAAGCCATAGCAACTTGTGCTGGGATTGCACCATTCAACAGCTTGCAAGGCTGAAGAATTGACCGTCACTATTCAGCCTGGTCTACACCATACAGCTATTTTGAAGTGACTTTCTCTGGCCAGTGAATCCCTATTTTTGGTCTTTTCAATTTTTTCCCGCACACACATCACACCACATACTCCGGCATGCACTGGCTGTTGGTAACCACCCAGGACAATGAAAGGAAAGTCAGGAAGAGCCTGAGAAGAGAAGAAAGACGTGTGTGACCATAATCGTCGGGAATCGAACCCGCAATCTATCGATTGGAAATCGCTGCACATACCACTGCACCATATGGGACACACACGAGAGACAGACACGCACACAGACACACACACAGACACACACCAAAGAGTCAGAAGAGAAGACAGATGTCGTAGTTCTCTCGCATTCACGGGCAAGCAGGTACGCAGCTTGCACGGCTTTTTCAAAATACAGTGGAACTGATGTGGAACAGTTGCGCTAAATGAAATCCGGCCAAAAATGCTCTGCCCGCACATCTCTTGCTGTGCAGAGCAGCCAACTACAATTAAACCTCTTTAGGTAGACTATTTACTTATCTGCAGACAGTGCATCTTGAACATGACACCAACACATGTATTCAACACATGCTTTACAGTACTGGCGGGCGCCGAAGAACGGCCAGGCCAGAATTTCACCAAGCACAGCATACCAATGTAGACGCGAGGACTCGACTGAGCAGTACATCAAAATAGGAACGGTCTAGGCTAGGAGGCTGACCCCCCCCCTCCCCCCCCCCGTTCTTCGGCGACCAACAGTACTGCAATACAAGACACTACTACGGCATAACATAACGTAACATAACGTAACATAACATAACATACTGTATATCACCTTATTTTCGGTGTAGTAAAATTTCGGTAAAAGCCAACCCCTGACCTTTCGGTGTAAGGATAAATTCGGTATGCATGGCACCAAAAAAAAAAAAAAAAAAAGAAAAAAAAAAAAAAAAAAAAAAAAAAACGCTCTTGCACTAATATCTCCGCCAAGGCCAAAAGGCTCCACATATGCATACATGTTATGTATGTACAATGTACTACCGGTATACCAGTATACAAGTAAGTTACAACTACACATGTAGTTGATTTTTTTAATTTGACAGTGATTTTTACATATTTTGGTATTTCGGAAAATTTAGGTGTAATGTTAAATTAGGTGATCCAGGACCAGTACCGAAGTTACCGAAATTTAAATTACACCGAAATAAAGGTGTTATACAGTAACATAACATAACGTAACGTAACATAACGTAACATAACATAACATAACGTAACGTAACATAACATAACATAACGTAACATAACATAACATAACGTAACAGAACAGAACATACAGGGATGAATTTACTGTCATTTTTTTGCATAGCAGTTTTCGCGACGCAAACGCCAAAATGCGTAGCAGTCCTTGATTTTTGATTAGCACTTTTTCTTCCACGAAAAAGCCCATCCAGGACCGTTATTTCACATAAAATTAGCGTCACCGCTGCACCTGTTGCTTTCTCAGAACGAAGCCATTTCTTCTCGACATCGACCTCTGCCACCCACTTCTCAAAGGTACTCTGTCGTACAGACATGTTGGAGGCAGAACCAGACTAGACAAAAACTACAGCTTGGACAATTGTCAGAGAGAAGGACGAACGTGATTCCAGAATTTCCTCACCGCCAGAAAGGCCGACTGGCTACAAGCAGAAAGCTATCACGAAAAGAGGTACGTGAACCAGAAAGAAGAAAAAACAATACCTCCGCCGGGATCGTGGAGGAAAGATGATGCTTGTCTGTACGGAAAGTACATGAACTTACTGAACTAATTTTTTACTGAATCAAAGCCACGCAAAGACAGTGGTACGTGTAGTTCAAGTAGGACACCAGTACATGCAGTCGGTATGTGCACGCGGAGCCAGCCACAGTTCACAGGTACATGTACTAGAAATCACACCTTCCCGAGAAAAAAACGGGGTCCGTGCACTGTACAGGTGTAGTGAGCATGGTGAGTGTACGACACAGTCACAGCATCATTTTTACTGACTGCGCGAGCTAGTACGCAGTGCCGTTTATGCATCGCAGTTTCCTGCGAGTCGCTGTGATTTTTGAGTCGCACTCGATCGATTTTGAATAGCAACCTGCGATGCGATACCGGATAAATTCATCCCTGACATAAGATAACATACATGTGGGCTCCAATGCATGGCACATGTAAGGTCTTGGGGAAACACTTCTTCCCATCACCACAACCACAACCACACACACACACAAGCATGCACGCAAGTACAAGCACGAGTGCTCGCACACACATTAACACACACACACACACACACACACCATACACGCGTACACACACAACACCCCCCCCCCCCCCCCACACACCGCCACCACTGACCTCGTTACTGTTGGCGGAGCGGCGGAAAATCCCGACAGTGCGATCGGCGTTACTACGGACGTGCCTGGCACAGTCGACGAGCATGGGCAGAACCGGATCGCCGCCGTTTTGCTCGGCAAGCACACACGGTGGTACGCCAAACACCTTGCCACCCGTACTGCCACCAGCACCACTGGTCATGCGGTTGTAGAAGTGCGCGGCGTCGCTCCGGCCGGCCGTCACCTGCGACTTCTCCAGCGTGCGGTCGTACTGCTTGATGGCGTCGGGCACCTCCAGCTGGTCCAGGTACAGCACCGTCTCGAGCTCCGAGAGGCGAGACATCATGGCCAGCTTGCGACCGAACTTGACGCTGACGACCGGCTTGAACGCGGTGAGGAGTATGCGCACGAACGACGTCGGATGCATGATGATCATCTTCTTGACGTTCTTCTTGTAGCTGCGGTCGAGCTCCCGGTACACACGTATTGCCCACTTCATGCCTGGCGAGAGAGAGAGAGAGAGAGAGAGAGAGAGAGAGAGAGAGAGAGAGAGAGAGAGAGAGAGAGAGAGAGAGAGAGAGAGAGAGCAGAGAGTGAATGGAGAGAGAGAGAGAGAGAGAGAGAGAGAGAGAGAGAGAGAGAGAGAGAGAGAGAGAGAGAGAGAGAGAGAGCAGAGAGTGAATGAGAGAGAGAGAGAGAGAAAGTGAGAGTGAGAGAGAGAGAGAGAGAGAGAGAGAGAGAGAGAGAGAGAGAGAGAGAGAGAGAGAGAGAGAGAGAGAGAGAGAGAGAGAGAGAGAGAGAGAGCAAAGAGTGAATGAGAGAAAGTGAGAGAGAGATAAGAGATGAGAGATGAGGTTGATAATGGGCCGTGGGGAGGTCTATCATGCTCACCACATCGTAAACATAGTTACTGCAGTCTACTCTTGATATGTGGCACGCCCAATCTTGGAGACCAAAATGCGGGACTTATTGTGAGTACGTAGTGGAGTCATGATCAGCAAATACCGTCAGGATTCCAAAAGTGCGGGGCTAATCACGAGCTCGCTACAACAAAGTGAGTGACTTACCGCAAGTAGACCGCACCTGTGTTTACGATGTGGTGCACAATAACCCCCCCGCCCACACACACACACACACCCTGCCACACGCACACACCCTGCCACACGCACACACCCTGCCACACGCACACACACACACACACACGCAGCCCAGGGCAGCAGGAAATGTACGTGCATAATTATGTCTTCCACTTGACACACAACACTGATCATCTGGAATGCACTGTACCTGGCTTATTACTGGATCGGAGTCCATGGTGAAAGTAGACCAGTGTGTAGTCGCTTTCCACGATATTGTCCAACGTGTGGAACATATACTCAAGTAAACGCTCATGATCGATCTCCTCCTTGGCTGGCAGTCGATGGGCGAAGAAAACCACGACCTGGCGACCTTCACGATCAACACCAGCCGTGGAGATAATATGGTGACGGGCTATGTCTGCGAATTGAGTACTGGAGGTCTTTGACCGGGGCACGCTGTCGGCAGCGACGGCCATTGCCGGTCAAGATCAGGAAGGCGAGCGTACTTTTCAAAATACTCAAATCAATAGACAACAATTATTTTTTTATGAAATTCGTGGCAGGAAGCAGAAACAACTACGAATTCGAAAGGGAAAGACGTTCACTGGCGAAGTACAAATTTTTTAGTTCTGAGGCAGCACACAGGTTACTCCACGATCATAGTAACACTTTCACGAAGCACCACATACTACTAGTAGCTGAAGGAACTAAACAGCCATGGACGTGTGTGTGCTCCAAAGAAACAACCTGAAGCATGCTAGCACAAGGCAATACCACTGCATGCCAGCTTCATTTTCAACAAGACGTGTGTCATGGTGCATCTGCGGCATGCGGTGTGGAGGGATAAAAATGACGTCGTGGCTCCGGACTTTAATTTTTTTTTAATTTTGGCAAAAGGATCACGTGAGATCATCAAAGCAGATCGAACACCGTATCGCAACAATTATTTTTTTGAACATCGTATTTTCATTCTCTCTGTCTGTTTACGTTTCTGGGAAGCAATTACAATATTTTTAGTACGAGTACAGTAGTTTGCACAGCAACGAGCACTGACTGTAGTTGGCAAGAACGTTTCAGGTCACAATGGATGTGTTCCTCAGGCGTAAATTATGCAGAGGCAGGAGCGTGGCGCTCGCCTATATCCGATTTGCTAGTCGTTCGTCCAAGAAAGGCGATCAAGCAGCCGAGGAGAAGGTTACATTTGGAAAGGTTGGCAACAGCTTGAAATGTGGCGTGGTCGGCGTGCCCAATGTAGGCAAATCATCCTTCTTCAACCTGGTCACCAATGGCAAGGCGAAGGCGGAGAACTACCCGTTCTGCACGATTGACCCCAACGACGGCAGAGTGGCCGTCCCGGATGCCCGGCTGGACAAGCTGTGCGAGATGTACAAGCCGCAGAAGCGCACGCCATCCTACCTCCACGTGACCGACATCGCCGGGCTGGTGAAGGGCGCGCACGAGGGCAAGGGGCTGGGCAATGCGTTCCTGAATCACATCAGCGCCGTCGACGGCATCTACCACCTGTGCCGAGGCTTCGACAGCATTGACGTGTCGCACGTGGAAGGCACGGTGGACCCGGTACGCGACCTGGAGATCATCGCCCAGGAGCTGCGCCTCAAGGACCTGGAGTACCTGGAGACGCGGCTGCCGGGCCTGAAGATGAAGATCAAGAAGGACGCGGTGGCCAAGACCGAGTACGACACGCTACTCAAAGCGCACTCGTTTCTGGAGAACGGCACTGCGGACGTGCGCAATGGTGAGTGGAGCGAGGCGGAAGTGCGTGCGCTCAACCCACACTTCCTTCTCACGGCGAAGCCGGCGATATACATCCTGAACGTCAGCAAGGACGAGTACGTAGCCGGTGAGTACAAGTATCTGAGTGCGGTGGAGGAATACGTGGGCAGGCGCGACAGCGGGCGGCCGCTTGTCATCCCGTTTAGCGTGCAGTATGAGCAGGAGGTGCTGGACGGCGTGGAGGAGGCGCTCGCCGAAAGCGCTGTGCCCGCGGCGGTCCGCGCCGGCTTCCGCTGCCTCAACCTGATCTCGTTCTTCACGGTCGGCGCGGACGAGGTGCGCGCCTGGCCGGTACACATGCACTGCAAGGCGGCGCAGGCCGCGGGCCGCATACACACCGACTTCGAGAAGACATTCATCCTGGCGGAGGTGTGCTCGTACGACGACGTCATCCAGCACGGTGACGAGGCGGCAGTGAAGGCGGCCGGCAAGCAGCGGCGCCAGGGCAAGGAGTACAAGGTTGCCGATGGCGACGTCATGCATTTCAAGTGCGGCTCCAGGAAGAAGTAGACGACGCCTGGGTAATAGTATGGCGGGTCGACGGCGACGTCGTGATGATGTCATAGTATACGTGTAGTGATGTCACCATGATGTTATGGCTGGCTGTTGGACTTGGCGGACCATCGAATGAATGATGTCACTGGGACAACATGGTGTTGGAGGACCATCGAACGGCATGTCTTACAGGACATTGTGGCATGGCAGTCTTGCTCGCTTCCCATGCGGCAGAGGAGCATACCGTTAGGCGACCTGCTGGTCTGCTTCTGTTGCCTTGCCAAAACACTAGTGTCACAGATGGTCTAATGGGATCAGTCAGCGATGTGTGCTGATCACCGCGCAGCCAAGTGGCGTAGGCAGAATCAGAGCTGGCCAATTTCAACGTGCGTTGACGGCGACCGGTTGTATCCACCCGCATGCAAGCTCAGCTCGCCAGGCCGGTAGATCTACAGCCCACTGATGTTGTTGCTGGGTGCCGTCTCGAGCTTATGCCCGGAGGACGGCTGTGCTTGCTGCAGCGTGCCTGTGTGGAAGCGGCGTGCTGATGCATGTGCTCGCGGCCAGTACCACAACGTAGTGCACTCTAGACCTGTCCTGGATGTCACTGGCGTGACTCGCGAGTTGCGCCTGCAGACACTGGTGCATGCAGAAGCTAGTGTGAACTGCCAACGCCACAGCGTATCTGTACAGTGGAGATTTGGCTTGTTCACAATTCGTGCACGCAATTAGCACCTGCCGCAGCCTGCAGCTAGTGTGAACTCCCAACGCTACAGCATAATTATGTGTACAGTGGAGATTCGGCTTGCTTGCTCGCAATGCATACATTCGTACAATTAGCACCTGCCACAGCAGTGCAACAGAGCAGTGCGGCGCGCAGTTGCGTTCAATCAGAATGCAGTTTGCCGTGTGTACGAGTGCCGCCTGAAAACGTGGCGTGTCTGCTCCAGAGAGCCCGATCGGTTGTAAAACTGTGTCACAAAATTATTTTCGTTTACGTTGTGTCGTGCTGCCAACCTTCTGCTTGTATGGACGGTTGTGGCTTGTACCGCCAACGACAATGTCCGCCGCCGCCAGGACCTGCGGTGTCGCTCGGTTTGCTGAGAATCTGCTTTCCTGCTTGTAGGCATCGCCAGGACTGTTCTGTTGTGATGTTCCTGGCACGGAACGTGTCGGTAGATGCACTAGAGCCCTCCCTCGCGTATCTCGTTCATTTGTTCCTGTGTCTCTTTCTCAGCTGCTTGCCCGTGGTGTGTGCTCCGATCGTGTATCTTGCGTGTCACCAGTGTTGTGCGTGGGTGGCGCTCATTTCACGTTGGATTTTCCAGGAGTTATTTTTTTGCCGTAGTTCCGTTTGCCAGAGTCCTCGACTTGGTCTGCATTTTTTTGCTACAAAATTTGCTACAAAAACATTCTTCACAATTCCGAATGCCTTTTCACGCTGTTCTGTTGTACGTGTACCGGTAGCAACAGCAGCCACAGCATGAGTGGGTTCAGCAATGGCTGCGCTGAGCAGCGTCGCGTCACACTGCAACTTCACCGCACCGTCCGTTCGAGTATCGTTGTACATCGTTTCGGGCATTGCCGTTGCCAAGGTCCTGCTGACTGGTGGCTTGTGTTGCAAGTCATTCTCAAGGCCATTCTTTGGTTACAGCTTTCTTTAAAAAAACAAAACAAATGGTGGGTCTGATCTACTCACCTTCCACCGCTTTAGGAGCTGCATCTGCGCCTTGATCTTTGAGGGTGGTGGCGTCCCAGCGGATGCAGAACATTCGGTCTCCAGGCGAGTCTCTCGCGAACCGTGAATTCTCCTTCTTTTTTTAATGACTGTATTAAAAAAATCATTCTTTTCTTGCAAAGCGATGCTCTGCTCTAAGATAGGAGACAACGCCATGCTTTGCCGTCTCAACTCGTATGACATCGGCGATTCGTGTCAAGTCATACGATAAGTGTGTTTGTGCGCGTGTGCAACTATAGTGCTTGTGTGCGTTCTCTTTGACTCATCACGGTCTTGACTCTTGTTCTTGGACTTGGGTGTGACTAAAAAGCAGCAGCAGCCGCCACTGTTTCCGCTGCTTCTTTTTTTTTCTCGTTTCTTTTTTTTCTGGTGCTCCCAGACCTTATTCCGGATCATTCAAAACGAACACGCACTCCGTGTTCGTTTGGAATGATCCGGAACAGGGCGCCGTTCCGGGAACGCCTACATGTTTGAATCCTGGAATCGGAATGAGTTTTACCTATTGCCACTTGTGGCGGCGCCCCTTCCGTACTTGTCTCCGTGGCGCAATCGGTTAGCGCGTTCGGCTGTTAACCGAAAGGTTGGTGGTTCAAGCCCACCCGGGGACGAGATAGTTTTTTTTCTCTCCCATTTCTTCATCACTACTGTCACTAGCAGTAGCACCAAGAGTACATAACCATTGATAACCCCCAGGTTATGTACTCTTGCTAGCACTGCACTGCTCTCCTCCTAAAAATAAAGCACCTACAAAAGCTCGTACAAAAGCAAACTTCTCTGCTGGCAAACGATTGATTTCCTTTTGTTTGTTGACAGAGTAGAGTAGAGAAATAATAATACAGTAGTATAGTACAATCATGTATTTTCATTTCTTATACTCCCTGGTTGACGGTGGGAACTACAGGACTGGTATACTCTTGTTTTTCGTTTCGCTACAGGGAAGCTCGACTTGTTGTCGTGAAAAGACAAAAGAAGAAGAAGAAAAAAGTAAACCCGTCCCCGGGTGGGCTTGAACCACCAACCTTTCGGTTAACAGCCGAACGCGCTAACCGATTGCGCCACGGAGACAAGTACACGAACGGCAGGGGCAAACAAAATACATGTAGGAGTATGCCCGTCCACGCATGTGCGCCTAGCTACGTAGCCGAGTCGATCCAGCTGGCCAGCTGGCCAGGCCGGCCATGCATGGTCCATGCCATGGCGCGGCCGGGATATGGATGCATATTATAATTATGTCATTATGTCACGGCTGTTACGGGGAGGTCACTTGGCAAGATGGCGGCGACCTGTAGCAACGCCCCTGGCAACAGAGGTCACACGGAAAGCGTGGGTACGCTCATCGCATTTTTCAAATTTTCATGATCATTTCTGCAGAAAGAAAAGGTTCAGTCACTTCGAATACTTGAAATAGTACTTTTATGGATTTCGTCTCTTCAGTCTCTTGCTCGTCAAAAAATGTTGTTGGAGGCAGCTGTGCTCCGCGAAGTGCAACGGATACCGCTCAGTAGCAGATAAAGGAGATGTGCTTCGCAGGACTCTTTCGCAAAATGACGACCTGCGCCTAGGCGCCTCGGATCGGAGGAGAACTTTTTGTCAAGTTTACTCAATCTCCGGACAGCTATAGCTGTTTCGACCTTGTTAGGTCTCATCAGCGGAGTTCACAGTGTGTCGCAAAATGACGACCTGCGCCTAGGCGCCTCGGATCGGAGGAGAACTTTTTGTCAAGTTTACTCAATCTCCGGACAGCTATAGCTGTTTCGACCTTGTTAGGTCTCATCAGCGGAGTTCACAGTGTGTGGCCGAACAGATCAGCAAGAATTAGTTTCAACCCTGTTACAGTGTTAGGTCTCATCAGGGGAGCTCAGAGTGTGTGGCCGAACAGATCAGCAAGAATTAATTTCGACCTTGTTAGGTCTCATCAGCGGAGCTCAGAGTGTGTGGCCGAACAGATCAGCAAGAATTACTTGACCTTGTTAGGTCTCATCAGAGGAGCTCAGAGTGTGTGGCCGAACAGATCAGCAAGAATTAATTTCACCCTTGTTAGGTCTCATCAGAGGAGCTCAGAGTGTGTGGCCGAACAGATCAGCAAGAATTAATTTCAACCCTGTACAAGGAAGGACATGGCACTCGAGAAGGTGAAGCTTAGGAGTCACATTGCCTAACTTGCGTGCCAGAACCTCCGCTCTGCAGGTGGCCATGAAGGTGTGGATGGCATCACCCAGAACCTGCCTTGTTGCTGTTGTAAAAACCAGCTTGCCGCTGAACAGCTTGCGACATGCTGCATACTCTGTGAAGAGTCTCGAGTAGCGATCTCTCAAGGACTTTGCCTGGGCAAGCAGCTGAACCTCGCCGCTGTCCGCAGGTGTGCGGCTCTGCACGACTGTAAGGGGAGCAGAAGTGAGGGCAGCAATGACATCCGGTTTCAACGCACGGTGTATGTGGTTGCCGACAAATGCTCCGGAGTGATATGCTTGCCGCTTTATTTGGTACTGTGGCAGTACTGCTTCCAAGGAAGTTACGCACGGGCCAGCTGCTTTTTTTAAAAATCTTTTACTGTTAATTTCTCATGCTCTTTTCGAGCCACATCACCTCTCATTCATCAAATTGAGTTCCTTTTCTTTCTCCTTCCATAGGAAGTGCAGATTTGATGCCACAGTCTGCAAGCCAGCAGCCACTACTTCCTGCTGCTGAATGTGCAGCGTCACACACTGCAGCTGCCTAAGAATGCTTTGTGCTTCTGACTGTAGGTGTAGTTGTTGTGTTGCTGTGTCGTGTACGTTCTTGTAGCGTCACAAACTGCAGCTGACTAAGAATGCTTTTGTGCTTCTGACCGTAGGTGTAGTTGTTGTGTTGCTGTGTGGTGTACGTTCTTGTAGGCATTGATAGGTGCTGTAAACGCTGCAGAGTCACTGTTATCTGCAGCAAGAAACATACATTTGCTCAGTGCAATATCGATTTGATGTGCGTCAGCACAAAGTGCACCGTAAATCCAGGGATAAATCCTTAGATCTAGGTGGAGCACAGGAATACACACGTCTTGCAGCTCAACAGGAAGAATGGCTTTTCTAATCACGTTGTACCGCCATGCGTGCTGCAAGTTGGCACCTGCTGCAACGAACTCTGTATTTAAAGCGTTCCGGCAGCAAGTCAGCAATTGCTTTGTATGGCGGTGATGCAATGTCGTACAGTTTCATCAGGGGAATATCCATGCCAATTGTTGCATCGTCTAAATGCAGACTGGATGAGGCTGGAGCTACATGCATATTCATATGCATGAGTTTTTTGGTCATCACACAACCATTAATACTCAGCACAGATTCAATGGCTTTCGCATGATCTCTCACAAGGTGCTGAGTTCCACGGCTAGTACTACACAACTTTTCACCGCCTAACCTGCATACCAGCTGTAACTTTTCTTGGTGTTTTTCCATTTCAAATCCACTGAATAAATAACAATTTCCACTAAATGTTGCTAGAGATTTGGACCCAGCGGGGCCAACAAGGAATCAGCGGGGCCCCAGCAGTAACAAAAAACAGCTACACAGATACTCTTCTCCTCGGCAAAACTACCCTTGACGTGACGAAAACTCGTTGAGCACCTCAAGGAGGCAACAAACTTCGGTGACTAGAACGATCGAACGGCAACAACTTCAGAGACAAATTTCCATGAAGAATGGCTTTTCTCAGCGAAGGAAAGCTCAAATTCACTACTTTTTTCTTTGGCGAAGCATGGTCAGGATGTTGCGCAACTGTAGCCGCGAGGACAGCTCGACGCGGTGATCAGAAGTGGTGCTTTGGAGACCCAACTGAGCAGAGATTGCGTTCAAAATACACCTCCTTGAGTACAAATTTTGAACGTTGAGAACGGGAAAGTCCCGGGAAGCGCCATCTCCTGTACAAAAACCAAGTGGGCCCGTTTTGTACTGTCGTAACAGCCGTGTATGTGCCGTGATGATGTGGCACGCTCAGACTACGTGCTATTTCAAAAACAACACAGAAAAGGGCTTCATTTCATTTGAGCAAACATTCATACTTCAAGTCAAAAAATAGAGTGTAGTCTACCTACCTGGCCTGGTCTAGATGGAAAATCTGGCCGTGCCTTTCATTATCATATCCCTAGCGTATTATTAGTACTGTATACTGAAAGAAAGTGTTTTGCGCAGCTGAGCTCTGTAGTACTAGTAGTGACGATGAAGGTGAACCAGGACACGGTCCTTGTTGGCGAGCGAGTTGTGCTGGTGCCGTACGAAAGCAAACACGTATGCAAGTAAGAGCAATGTTCTAAGACACTAAAAGACAGATGATTGTGGTACTCATGTCACACACACGCACACACGCACACACACGCGCGCACACACACACACACGCGCGCGCGCACACTACATGGGATCGATTGTGGATTTGTATTCAGTATCGCAATCAATTAACTTAAAGACAAGCTGGGTAATCATCTAGTTTAGGGTCTCAAATTATTTCGCACTTTCCCAGCGTTCTGTGTACTTTCTGTGTACGTAGAGTCTACGTGAGAGCGTGTCAACCCCAGACATTTGCAAATCAAGATCAAAAACACAGTAGCTGTCGATATGGATTTTTTATCAGAAGAAGGAACCACTGCGAACGCTCTTGACATAGTGGCAAGGTCAGCATCACCAGCGAAACTCATCGTGGCTTTCCTGCCTCTTAGTCTTAGTGAGGCCACATCGCGCACCACATGTGTCACAGAGCATTTCGTTCCTGATAAAGCGCCGAGCGGCAAGGAACTCGAGTTGGCCAAGTTGGGTCCTGGAAAAGATCGGCACAAGGGTGAACACGGTCCACTGCTCCATCAAAATTGCATCATTATTTTAGTATGTCTCCCTGAGGGACAATCCGTATCGGCGCACCGGGACGCCCCACCATTACCACAAAGTCAAAGGAAACAACTCTAAGGACACCAAACTTCGAAACACACTCAACCACGCTCTCAAGTACATAGAAAGTACGCAGAACACTGGGAAAGTGTGAAATAATTTGGGACCCTAAACTAGATGATTACCACAAGCTGAATCGACATTAAAATTAATGTGTATACCGTATTATCCCCAATAACTGTACAGTACTTCAGGGTGCGACAGAGCTCTCGGCCATTGAAGAAAATGAGCGCAGTGTAATGGTGGAGGTGACTCAACAGCTGTACAGTACTTTTATTTTTTCAAAAGGTGGTCTGCCCTGTACTACTATTTATTTTTATTTTTTATAAATAATTAAAGCCTCTTTTACGGGCGAACAAAAATACAATTTGCATGGCGGCGCGCGGAGGATTGGAAAACAAATCACTTAATGATGACGTCACATGTGATCAGAGAGCAAGAGAAGCATAGCATAGCCCTGTACTACTATAGGAGACTGTACTGGTATTGGAGACGTGGACTTTTGTTGTTTCTGGAAAGATTGAGTGCCTAGATTGGGTGGCAAACAACTCATACATCCAACCATGGTCAGGAACAGTGTAGAAAGACACAAAGATGATAACCGGGTAAGAAAAACGAAGTAAGGTGGGCCATAGTACCTGTACCCCAGTAATGCCCATCACATCATTCCGGCATGTACTATTACTAGAGACGTGTCCTTTTATATGTTTTGGTCCATTCTCAACATGTACTACAATTGGAGACGTACTAGTATTGGAGACGTGTACGTTTGATGGGGGAAATGCGGTACTTTATTCATGCAGTGTGAAATGGTGGAGACAATGTGCAATAAAGTGATTGTTCTCTTCATTATTTCTTCCTACTTTCATCGTTTCATTGCACCTTGTCTCCACCGTTTTCGCACTGTGTGAATAAAGTATACACAAATAGAGAGGTTTTGCATAACGTAATTACGTTAGTAAAAAACGTAGTCGATCCACGGAAAGTCTTACGGAAACTGCATGCGCATCTGTGTTCCGCCGTACGGAGTTTTCAAATCACGTAGCTGCCCTTGGCAGCTCCGGGGTGCATGTGCAGTGCCCGTGCATAGTACAACTAGTACATGAAGGATGTAGCAAAACACCAAAACGATTGTGAACCGTGTGTTGCTGCCGCAGGTGTCGCAAGTCGCATATCTCGTCGCTAAACGTTAGATTGTGAATCGGCCTTAGCCCTTTCCGTGCTCATGACGTCTATAGACGTCATGTGCACTGTACCCCAAACGACTTATGACGTCTTTAGATGTCATGACGTCATGAGGTTTGTGCACGGCATGGATCAGAGTACAAACTTTCGTAACTCCGTCTAAAATAGGTCCCTCGCAACAATCGATACACCGTTTGGAAGGTCGGGAGCTTGGATTTCCAGCGATATAACGTTCTCTGCGATAGAAGAAGGATTGACAGAGTGGCCACGGAGTGAGCACGGAATTCACGGCACTGAGCGATCTTGAATTTTTGTTTGTTTGCAGTTCTCTGTCGCGTGCCAGGGGATTTCCCTTTGGCCCAGCGCATGCGTAATGGATCCCAAAGGAAGCACTTGGATCTCAGCTTTGCAGCACAGGTTGAATCGTGAAAATCGGCTGAACTGGAACAAAAAACTGAAAAAGAATGTGAGATCGAGTTCCTGTGCCTTTCCAGGGCGGGGGAAGTAGTTTCGAAAGGACGTGGAAGTTGCACTGCCGTGCATATTGAGCTGAGAGCTACCAGGATGGGTTCGCTTGGTGCTGATCTTTCCAATAAGCCTAGGATGATGATGATCCATCGAGGTGAACTGAAATGAGAGAAAACTTCGTTCGGACCTGTGCGCGAAAACGATACCAGGAGAGTCAGTGCGCTGGAAAGGCAGTTTGCTAGAGAAAATGGGGCCAGCACGGCAAGCCTTTTAAGAGTACAGTAAAACCTGTCAAGGCGATTACTCGGATAAGGCGACCACCTGTCCAAGGAGAATGAAGGTGAAGGTGAATGAAGGTGTGTCTTTACCACCATATTTATCAACCTGTCCAAGGAGACCACTGAAACCAGGATCAAGGGATGCTACCTCCAGTCAAGTGACCTTGGATAAGGAGACCACCTGGTACAGAGACCAAGTACGGAAGGTCCCTTGAGCGGTCGTCTTAGACCGGTTTCACTGTACAGTTGACTTTGCGAATAACAACACTCGGCGGGGCATCGGAAAAATGTCCTTATTCACGAAGTGTCCTTATACCCGAAGTCCCATTTGAATGTATGTGAACCCATATTTTTGTATAGTATGACACGCATATCAAAATGAAGCTTTTTTCATGCTCTATGCCAACGTGCACCCCATTTTCATATTACAATTGAAAGGAACTATAAAGTCGATATGGAAGGGAAATAGATTGGAAAAATTAGCCTTTTGCAAATTTTGGAGCCATTTACAGGGACATGTACATGTCATGTATGATGATTACTGTACAATCATGTATACCTACAACTACAGGACATTGTAGCTGTGCTGATCACTCCAACATGTATTTAGAAGCAAACAAAATAAAAAATAAAGTACCCCCCCCCCCCCTTGGATGTATCTTCTTGCATGTGTGCCTTTATCCATCGCCATGCATGGCATGGGTTCTGGTACTTCTGCATGACAGGTACTTGAAATAGCTGTCAAAAGCCCAGAAAGTCGTTATTCAAGCAGTGAATATGACCTCGGGGCACTAAAAGCATGTCGTTATTCGCGAATTGTCGTTATTCAGATAGTCGTTGTATCCGAAGTTAAATGTATACAGTTAGATGGGACTTTGCTCCGGGCATGGAAATTCTGTCGTTATTCGCGAATCGTCGTTATATCCGCAGTCGTTATTAGCGAAGTTGACTGTATATGTAATGCGTCACGGTGTAGTGCCTGAGTGCAGATTCGAATCCCTACTTTTGTGTTCTGTATCATTGGAGCAAACATGCAACGAGGATGCCCAGATGCTTGCAGTATACGCACAGACACACGCACGCTCACACGCACACACGTACATACCCAGTCACTTTCGCTTTCAGACTCTCACATGCCCACCGCTGAAGCGACGATAGCGAGTACGCTATGTTAGACACGGCAGCTTGTGCTGGGATTACACCATTCAACGGCTTGCAAGGCTGGTGAATTGACCG